TTCCAATGATCAATACTATATATAAATAAATATATCGAAAAAGAATAATTATAATTTAGAGAAAAAAAAACCAGAGAAACTACATACTCTATTAATAACCATGATCGTTTCATAAGATTATCTCGATATTCATTTGTATAATCAATATTTGGAAAAAATCCTTTTTGAATGTTATAAAGTGCTTTTTCAAATCCTTGATTCTATAAATAGAAAAAAAAAAAAACCGAAAGATTTTTTAAGACATCATCATTTAGTATAATTCAAATTACTCTATATGAGAAATATTTAGAAGCATGATACTCATGACACGACATACGTCCATCAAGGTTATTTACTGATGAACGACTTGTTGTTGAACGAGTTGTACGAGTTGATTGTGGTCGTGCTTGTCGATCGAATGCCATCGGGGGAAGAATATCATCATCGATAGTATTTTCTGTTGGATCATTTGGATCGGAGACATATGATGGATTGTTAATACTTAACTGTTCAATTGTTGTTATACTGGGTGTTGTGATAGTTGCCATTGTTACGTTTATTAGAAGAAAAAAACCTACTGAATCAATGAGATTGAGTTGTGTTTCTGTTAGGTAGAAAAAAAATTGTGACTAAATAAATTGTTAATAAAGCAAAAAAAAATGCGACGAAGAGAAACGATAGTGAAAGAGAATTTTTCTGTTTCTTCGATACTCAAATATGTTGAGTCAGAGAAAGTTTTTCTTTTTTTCTTCTGTTTGTCAAAGACAGATTGGCGACTGAAATTATACGTCACCAGTTTTATTATATACAATAAACACTTCTTTTACATTGAAGTATTTAAGAATGACAAATGTGACGACTTTTTTCCGGTAATAAGGAATTTTGGAAATAAATAAATGCGAAATATTTTCTGCAACGTATAGAATATTGAGTACTAAACCAAAACTTTCAATTTAACCAATCGACCAAATCGATCTTGATGTCAAAAAACAATAGGTTCTAACTAAAAAAAATCATTCCAAACTTTCAATAGTCTTTATGTGGGTTGAAAACATCAACTCCGTGTTGATTACATAAAATACTGACGCATTCAAAATATTCAATTGAATAAAATGACTCATACATCCATGTTCTTCTTTTCATAAAAGTCATGGACAAATCATACTATTTATTGAACTAATTAAGAGACGTTGCACGAGAAAACCGAAGATTTTCGAATATCGAAAAACATGGGGTCAACCGATTTATGATTTGACCCCCTATGAATTTCGGACCTTACGTACCATAGATGAATCCAAAATATTACGGCGTAAAGATTGATTTGTAGTCGGCTAGAGCGAACGGACTCGACACACATTCAAAAAATGCTCAAAAACTGTAAAATTTTGACCTATACATTTTTTGAATTTTTTGGTTCGAAATTTTACGCTGTTCAAATTGAGTTATATACCAATCGATAGAGCTTGACTTTCTCTACAAAACTGTATATATGTCATTTCTATCTGACATGAATTTAAAATCGAAAAGGTCCTAATACTGTGTTTTTTCGACATATAAAATTTGGTCAATTTTTGAGTATTTTGGTCTAATGTCTAGGAGAAAAATAAACGTTCGACCAGTGAGAATGTTAGGCCTGAATATCGGTCGCTGACACTGTTTTCTACCTATTTTGAACATAATATCATATCTATATCTTTGAACATTTGCTTCGCAGCTTTCTATCTTTACTTTCGAATGCTCTATCAATAGATAGAGCTCGGGTTCCTCTACAAAACTATATGTGCAAGATTTCTTTCTGATGTATACTTAGAACAGAAAATCGTCTCGAGAGCTATATTTAGCCATATCCATAAAAAATTCGCTTTCAAAAGTCCATATAACTGAGTTACTTCACAAAATGCTAAAAAAGTTTGATCGTATCGCATGAATTGTATCCAGTATAAATCAGCACACGCTCCTCTGTTGGCTTCAATAAAAGTTACTTTGAAAATAATAAAAAAAAATTTTTCGAAAAATCCCTGTAGGGAGGTACGGG